CTTGAACTCTGGGTCATTGGCACTTTGTTTAAATACTGTGAGATGACCTCTAGTTTCACTGTTTTTTCTCTCAATTACTTGGATTCATTTAGCCTGAGGTTAGATTACACAGACCTACTGAAATACTGCTTTGCCTAAAGTGGAATCATTCTTGAAAGCATGAAGTAGGGATAAATTTAATGATTTCATCCCGGGGAGAAGTTTTATTAGTTAGATTAATGAAACAAACGGGAACAAAGATTGTTATATAATATATGCACCTTGGTAAAACAGTTTTTCATGCCATCGGCTCTGTTGATGGGATTCATTTTAAAAATGAATTGTGAGTTATTTACTGAAATGAGCAAATAAAGATTAGTAATGCTCTTTATCTTCTTTATAGTATGGTTAAGCACACATAGATTTTCCCCCCTCCTTGTGAGCTTCCCAGGGCAGGCAGTTTCCTGCTTGCTTTGACACCCCACTCTCCTCTCTCCTTACCTTTTAACCTAGAGGTGGAAGCTGTTGACCTATATGAATCAGGCCAACTTGACCTTGAATTCCAATTGTTCTTTTTTCTGATTGAAACCAGGGTCTGTAAAGTTACAACCTGTGATTTATATTCAACTTACAAGGTATTTTTGTAAATAACATTATTACTAGAATACAGACATACCTGTTTGTTTACATATTGCCCTACACTCGCAGGGTTGATTAGTTGTAACAACTCTATCATGCAAAAACTAAGTTAGTAAATATCTGACCACTTATAGAAAATGTTTGATGAGTCCTACATTAGGCCATCATTGGATGACATTGGATAATCTTATGCAAGTTATTTAATCTCCTGAATTCTAGTTTCCTCATCTATGAAGTGAAATATTAATTACTGATTACATTCATGTTGAGAAAGGGAGGTAAAATATTTAGGATCTTTCTACAATGGTATTTGGGCTAAGTCAGGCCTTTAATACACAGTCTCTATATTTCTAATAGAAGAATTTTTATTATTGATAATCAATTTGATGGATTATTATCCCAAAGGACACTATCACTTTCTACTTTCTCATTCTATTTTTTCACTGAATTTGGAGATGAATGGTACTAGCATATTTAGTAGGTACAAACCTTTATGTATATCCAACATTGTATGGATTCTTAAGAAAAGTGACTGCTTTTCAGGTAAAGATTAGCATTGATTTTCAGAATTGCTAGTCTTGTTCTCAGACAATAAAATGCTTATATTTAAACAAAGAAAGAAAAACTTAATTGTCCTATGTGATCTCCTTCTACTGGGTGATGCACACAGGCATTTAATTCAGACTCATTTATAAATGAATGACAGATTGATATCTTTGTATTTCTATCATATCAACTAATTTGACTTATACGAGGATTAGTGAATCAAAAAAGTGATATGATTGGACATGACTTTTTTCTTATTTTTTTCCCAAAATAAGTAAATTGAATGATGTCATGTGTCAGAAACCATTATATCATATAATATTATATAAATCATATAAATGTCTTTATTGGGCTATGAATATATTTATACATTACTAAGAAGTAAAATTTTCAAGTAAATTATAGCAAAAATAACTATGTCATTGTTTTCTTAACTCCATGTTAAGTCTCCAGAGCCTTCAGCTTCCATTCCTTTAGTGTACCATTATATGCAATTTTTGCAATTTTTAGTCTTTTAGTAATTTTCAAGATTATTACTCTGTCCTATTGGGGCTGTTTTCTCATGTATTTAATGAATTCATGTGGAGTGTGTATTCTCTGTTGGTTATCTTAGTGGAGGAAGAGTGAATCACCTGACACAAATTCTCCAAGCACTTAATGAGCTTATGCTCTAGTGAGAACAACTGAAAGAATTCAATAAATATTTAGCAAGAGTAATGAGAGAGAGAGTTAAGTGAGCTAGGGGATTAGGAGAATCTTTTCTAAGGGTTTGCATTAGGTTGAGATGTCAAGGATATGTTCAGTTTAATTAATGAAGAATCTAATGGAATGTGCCTGATATGGTTGGAGGCAGAGAGAACTTCATGGCAAATACCTGGGATTGAAAGCAGTACAGAGTGAGATTGGACAAAACCAAATCCGATGATTGTGGCCATTTTAGGTGACATTAAGTACTGAAAAACATAAAGCATACTCTGGTGGGTTCGACATTGTCTGTGGGGTCATTTTGCAATAGTCTGGTGAAAGATACCAGAAGTGTCAACAGTGGTGATAAAAGAGGTTGGATTTGGAGGCAGGATTGACAATGAGTTCAGTTTTGTAAATGGATTTGAGATACCTGTGTGGCTGTCAGACATTTCAGATGTCCTTGGCCTTTTGGCAGTCAAGGTAATGGACCAGAAGCCCAGCAAATATATGTGGGAAGAGAAGAAAATGAGGCCATTACAGAAATTACAGTTTTCAAAGATTATTGATGAGAATAAACTAGAAAGGGTTCATGACAATGGAGTGAGTGTAAGGTCATAGACACCACAGACATGACAATTATAGACATGGTTGACATGGTTAGGTAATATAAGCCTTGTTATTGTTCATTAGATTTTGTGACATAGTGGTCATGTATGATCTAAGGAAAAACAAATTTAATGTTATGGTAGGTGTGAACATTTTCAATTCCCCTTAAAATCTTGAATCTGCTCTTCTACTTGGAGGACTTTTCCCTCTTAATGGTAGTACTCAGGAATGTATATACCTTTTAATGTTTCTAATCAGGTGCTTTAAAGCAGCCTCCATGCTGCTTTGCTGTATTTAACTCTGCTAACTTGTCCCTTTAGGCTTCTCTCACTACTAGTTTCATTAATCAGACATCTAATTCTCTTACTGTCTGAGTTCCTCACAGTCCACATCTCTCCTGTTGCATCAGATTTCATATTAACATCTATTTAAATACAATGATATTGACTTGTGTTTTATTTTCATATTCTCTCATTAAATCATTGAAAAATATTTAATCACTTTTTTTTGCAATCACTGTTGAATAATTTTGACATGTTACAGAGTTTCAGTCACTGATTTTTCATTTTCAGTATTTGGAGTGTAAAATTTTCCTTTTCTTTGTTTCCTTTTCTTTGTGTGCTTCATCAGAACCAATTACTTTAAAGGCCTCTAAAATATTGCTTTGTGGTACAAATAGAGAAAATTCTCCAATAAATTATCTCCTTGAGCTGAGTTCATAGTGGGTTAAGATGTAAAGTTTGCAGAACTTTACTATCTTTTGCTACTCAGAATCTTTAATAATCTTCCAGGATATTTCAAATAGATAAGCTGTTTCACATTTCTGGTTCTTTGCTGCTTTTGCTGCCTAATAAGAGTTACACAGATGTGTGAATTCTTTTCCATTGTTTTGGTTTTGTCCTCCTTACAAGAAATTAAGAGGTTTTACGCCTCATTATTAAGAGTAGAGAAGTTAGAGAAGTTCTCTATAAAGCCAGGCAAAACCATTCAAGTTAGTTAGAGGTGATGACTTTGGAGAACTGATAAAGTAATTTTATATATACATATTGGAGGGGAAAATAACATAAAGTAACCATGTAAATATATTTTTAATTTATTAATGTGATACACTGGAAAAAACAAATTCGATTTTGCAAATGCAGTTTCTTGTGTGAAATTAAAAAATTAGAATTAAAAATTTCTTGGTCAGCAAAGGCATTGCTGGCCCTGTTTTCTTATGATGTTTCATCATTGAATTGTAGTGGGAAATGATGTTGAAATTCTATATTTGTGGTTAAAAAAGTCATCTTAAAATAAAGTCTATTCTTATCTAAGATGCATAAAAGTGGTGTAAGTAGAAATTTATATGTTGGGATAAAGGGAAACTTGCCATGGTACTATTTTTCTGGACATAGATGGCTTGTGTTTTTCAAAAATATTTTGAACACAGTTCACCCACAGAAATACCTAAAAGATACTTTTCGAAAAGAGTTATCTTTTACAAAGAATACACAGGTTTCAATAGTTGTCAAAAAGACAACTATCAAAAAAAGAAGAAACATTAAGTGTTATTGATGGGGGAAAGGAGTCTCATACTCTGGTGGTGGGAATATAGATTGGGGGTTCCTTCAAGGTTATAAGTGGAGCTACCATATGATTCTATACTCCCATTTTGGAGTATTTATCTAAAGAATAGGAAAGCACTTATTGGAAAAGACATATGCACCCCTGTATTTATTATAGCACTATTCACAATAGTGAAGATTTGGAAACAGTCCAAAGACAGAAGAATGGCTATGATGATATCATATACATAATTACACAATAGACTATTACTCATCCATTTAATGAACTCTTGTTATTTGTAACAGCCTGGATAAAACTGGAGGGGGGGGGATATGTTAAATTATCTCTAATATCTACAAATATTGGATGATTTCACTCATTTATGTAATAGAAAGAAAAGGAAAACAAACCTTTAGATTTTGACAATTAAATGGTTATCAGAGGGGAAGGAATGGGCAGAGGGGTGAATTGGCTAGAAGTGTATGGTAAATGGACATTTGATGAATGTGGTAAGAAAATGTAATCTGGAAACTACAACACTAATATTTTATATATATATGTATATGTATGTATATATGTATATATATATATGACAATACCTAAAACCTTCTGCCTATTTTATCAAATGAATCTTGAAGCCTGATTTTAATCTACATTTTATCCATCCTATATGCATGAGTAGATTCCCAGAGCATAAGAGAACCTAGTTATACATGTACTTTCTGTTGTGGACTTTAAGTACACATCTATCTCCAAGCTTTCTTTATCAGAATTACCCCAGAGATGTTAACTGAACATGGTAACAAGGATAAAATACAAAGAACACTTCTTGGGTGTCCCTTACATTCACACCTTGCCATTTCACTCACAGATATACCTTTATAAGTTCCTGATGATTGTAATTTTCATATAAAGCATCCAAATTTCTGGGGATATTTGAACAACATTGACTTTTGTTGTACTGTTCCGATAATAGTGTGGTATGTTTTCTCCACTAGGAATGCTGCCTCTGCAATTTGAGAGGGGGTGCTCTCAAGCAAACTAAGAACAGCAAGTAAGTAATGTGTTAATTGTTTTGCGTAGTTTCTTTTTCTTTTTTGGAGCGTTGAATTTCTGACCAAAGGTTTGTTTTACCTGCCATTATTCTGCACATTACTCCAAAGCTCTGTGCAGATTTGGAGTGAAGAGATTCTTACATGTCTGCGAAGGCCATCCCTGATAGCAGAGGTGACTCTGCTGTGCATGGCATCTGGAACTTGCTTCTTGACTTAGCTTTTGACATATTTGGAAAAACTCCTCTTTTCCTAATAGAATTTTTTTAAATGAAAAGAAACCACTATCATCTAGATACTATTGGAATTGTTTATACTATTGTTTAAACACTATAGTGTTTACTACAGTGAATCTCATTCATCTAATAAAAACAGAACATGCCTGAAAAAATTCTGTATTATCAGATAAATAAGTATTAATCATGATATTGAAACAAAACCCTTTACTTTTAACACCAGGAAACTAACAAGAAAGTGTATGTACTAAAATAGAAAGACAGTTTAAAAGGGACACCAGATTTTTATCTTTACTTGAAAGATGATCGTTTATGTTTATATAGCAGTAATACATTGAAATGAAAGTTGGCCTAAATGGGGCAGGCACACCCTGGTTACTGTGATTTTACTCTGCCTGTATTTGCTTATATCCTGCCTGGTCCCACAGGTCCTGGAGTTGAGACTCCTTGTAACATTACAATGGAGTTAGTATAATTATGCACATGTACCGATGTTTCTAATTACTTTATAAGGAAGAGTAAAGGCATTTATCATTCCTACACTGATAAAATTTACTCTAATAAGAGACTATGTTTATATTTAATTTTGGGTTTTCAGCTTTCAGTCTTAATTGATGTGGTTGGCACTATACTAAAATGTTGACTAGATATAGACATTGCACAGGTTATGCAGACTGAGTTGGTGTAGGTAGTTTCTGTAAAGACAGTGGTAACAACTTCTCTTCCTAACCTTGTGCCTAGAACTGAAAAAAGTAATGTAGTTAACAATGAAGGAATACCTGAAAGGAGTTGATGCTTATCTTCTCTTCCTGTGATCTTTAAAGGCAGAATGGAGTCTGATGTTGTTTGAGTGAAATAAATACACTTTGGCTTGAAAAACTAATGAATTAGATAATTCTTCAGAATTTCTTTAAACTTCAATAGTCTTTCTATTTATTTTGGTCATAAGCATTTATGAGAAATTTACTATGAAAAAACTTTTCTGGAGAAATTCAGACTTTGAAAGGAGCAATTAGGTTTTAAGTAGATAACAAGGGAACAAGCTAAATTTCATTTCTCTTAAGATTATTTTGAGTATAGGATGCAGAGAAATAATTTAATTAAAAACTATGAATTCTTTTAGAAAACTTTTGTTGTTTGTACATTGTGTCATTTGTTGAATGACATTTGTGTTATGTAAAATGATAACATTTGCCTTTGATATTTGTGTTATGTGAAAAGAATATTTACCTTGTTTATATATTTTTAATTGAATTTTTAAATTTTTACTCTTTTGCCACATTGGTTAGCTGATTTATATTTAACATCTATATATTCCACTACCAAATCAATTTTGTATTTTGCAATTTGAGTGCAGAAGCATGCATGTATTTTGATGTGAGTGAGGCTTTGGTTTTCACGTTGTTCTTCCTGTCACAGTGCTGGGCAGGTGTGATAGTGAATCTATGCAGGTATCATCCAATAGAATTAAAATTTGGTATTTGATAGATTTGATAGATTTAGGCTTTGGTTTGCTTCCTGGGTATTTTCCATCTGTGAGAATTGCCTTCATTAAAGTTTAAGTTCAGGGAATTTTGTTTATGTTTAATGTCTCCTTTCCTGTAGGTGGGCCCATATCATGTGTGCAGTTGCGGTCCCAGAAGTTCGATTCACTAATGTCCCAGAAAGGACACAAATAGATGTAGGCAGAATACCTTTACAGAGATTAAAATTGGTGAGTGGCAAAGCTTCCTTTTTACCTCATTATTTAGTTCTGATTAAATTAAATTGAGATATTTTTTTCCTATCAATGCGCCCATTCCCAAAATACCTTCTCTTATCTTCATTTCATTATTCTACTCTTAACATTCCTTTAGTTTAAATTTGCTTATCCATACACATTCTCTTCTTCTAAAATCATAACTACATATATAATCTTCCTCAAATCCTTTTTGAAATTAGGCAAAGTGATTATATGTTTTTTTCATTAATGTGTATTTTCCACCTACAAGCTGTCTGGTGAGATTTGTTAGTAGTGGACCTGAGCTCTCCAACTGTCTCTCTTTAAATTGTTTAGTTTTTCTCTTTCTTGCCAGTTTTTGGTTGATCTTGCTTTAGCAAAATGCTTCTGACCTGATTTCATCACTCTTCACTAAGAAGAGAATTGGAGAGAACACAAAAACTTTAGTTATTATCAAGGGATTTTTTCACTTAGGAATAGATGCAAATCATATAATTTGCCAGACTTTCTTGTCAATTATCTTCTGACCTGTATAGAAACTTTCATAAAAATCTCCCCACTGGTTTTCTTTATTCAGAATGTTTTTCATTGAAAAGGTAGACCTTTAATATCCTTTACATTGAAGTAACCTTGTAGTTCTGTTAAATTGGGAACTAGCAGATCATTAATTTAGGCCTTTATGTTTTGTATTTAATGAAATTTTCCCTAAAGTTAAATTGCATGACATTAAAATGCTTAAGTGTGTCTTATAAGTGGACTTAACATTCTAAATGTCTTCATTGAATGTTATTTTTAGCTTATCATCTTTCCACCTTAGAGTATTTTTGGCACCATAGTTGTAACTCTCTACTTGACTGCTGTTTTATTTACTCTCTTTTCCCAGAGGGGAGTTGGGTGCTGTTTCAGGACCTTGATTTAGGAATTTCTAATCTAGTCTACTGTATTTGTTTTCAGAAAGGGGCAAGTAAAAACTGTGAATTTCCTTTCAAAAATCTCACATTGTTAGAAACTGTGTGACCCTTGATGAAGCTGTTGACATGTACGTGCGTGGGGCTGCTGAGGTTGGAGTAGTGGAAGTTTTGTGACCTGAAATGGAAATGAATGAATCATTCAAGTGGTCCTATAGAGCTTACAGTGACTGGCATGAGAGAGTAATGTTCTTTTGCTCCTAGATTTTCATAGGAAAGTTTGCAATGTTACATTTGGTTATCCAAAATATCAATAGAGAGGAAACAAACAAACAAAAAAAATTGCGAGTGTTATGACTGTAAGAATCACCACATGTTAAAGAGTTTAATTTTAGTATGACAAATATTAACAAAAGTCTGTAATTTTTTTCCTGATTTACATGAAATATGGATTTGTTAAAATTCAAACATCATGTTTTAAAAGTCATCTGTGTCTCCTTCTGAAAGATGACTTCTATTACTAGTATAGGAATGATCAGTGCTCCTGATGCTTTCCTTTAAAGATCTATACCCTGACTACTCTTGTCCATCCGTAGTTTCCTAATTATATATCGTTACCTACACCAACCCAAAAGAGGGTTTAAGGGAATAGAGGTGAGGGATTGTGTGATTATTTCAATTCCTTTCAGGAAGATATATCTTGAAATCTGAAATAGGAGGATTGTATGCAAAAATAGCAAAGTTAATTTTTTAAAAACATTTTAAAGATTTATTTATGCATACAGAACTGGGGTATAGGCTGGGGATGTGGGGGGGGGGGGTGAGAGGATTCACCAGAAACAGAGTGGGTAGAAGAATAGGCAGATTGAGTGAAATACACTGTTGAGGGGAAACGCAGGCTGGTCAGGAGTAGCCTGTCACGCCATGCCATATGGATCGCCCCCCTGCTGTGATAACTTCATAGTGCTGTGCTTCAACTCCTTGTACTATCAGGGGTGGCCCAAAGTTTATTGTTTTATTCACAATGCTATATGCTTCACTTGATGGTGTTTGTCCATATTTTATCATTAAATAATTGGTATCACTTAAAGAATATGTCATGATTTCTTTTAAGATTATCTAAAGTCCATTCAAATAACAATATAGCTATGCTAATTAACATACTTGAGTCCATGGCCTATACTTGGGTGAAAATAGTTATAGGTCATATAACTATTGTTTTTTTAATATAATTTTATACATATTGATAGTTTCTTGGAATATTTTTCAAAATGATTATAGGGATTATTTTAAGTGGAAAATACAAGAAGAATCAAAATCAAAGTTTCTCAGCATTGGTTTTACTGGCAATTTTAACAAGATAATTCCTGACTTTTGCACTTTGTAGGATTGTAACATCCTGACCTTATAGGCAATGCCAGATATCAAAATCATTCCCATTGGTTTATGGGAAAGATGTGCACAGAAGGATGAAAATTTTCTTTTTGTCACTTTTTGATGGAGAATATCAAAGTTGAAAGAAGTGAGCTGGAGTCTAAGTGATTAGAAAATCTTAATTGTTTTTTAAAATAATTGTAGAACAGCTTTTTTGCAAGTTATTTCAATTTCTTATTTGTCAATAAGATAGTAACTTTTGGCAATGTGTGCATATTTGCTACTGTTATGTAATCTGATTTAGTATTTTTCTATTATTACATGTAAAGAAATTGAACAGACACACTGAATGCTAATCAAGTTATGTGGAATATGAATTAAAGTTCTGTGTAGTGTGTGCATGTGTGCATGATAGTCACAGTAAATATTTATGGAATAAATAAAAGGCAGAAAATTATTATTCATTATTTGTGATTTTCAGCTTAAAATTATGGAAGAGGGTTTGGCTTGACAATACCAAATGGTTTATGTGTTTTCACAGTTTGCTCTTTAAAAGTCTTGATGATAAATTTATGCTCACCCCTGTGCACCCTACTCTAAAGCAAATTGATTTCCTTGTTGGAATGACAGGGGACCTATATTAGGTCATGGAATCTATCACTGCTCCAAAGTGCATATGGCACACCCATGAGACACTGGCTCTTTTGGTTGAGAGCTTTGATCTTGGGATCTATTGTCTGAGAATTAAAAACTGAAAAGGTCTGTTTTAAGTAGGGCAAGTTGCTCATCCCTGAAGCAGCAATGGAGACTTTGAGCCTCTCTCCAGCGCCCACTAGGTGGTGCTGTTGTACTAGTTTCGCAGCCAGTTGCCCTTAAACCACCTCCTTCAACAAATGCCTAATTTGAACCCTGACTGCACTTATAAGGGTGTGTGTGTGTGTGAGAGAGAGAGAGAGAGGGAGAGGGAGAGGGAGAGGGAGAGGGAGACAGAGAGAGAGAGACAGAAACAGAGAGAGGCAGAGACAGAGAGAGACAGAGGGGGGGCCGGAGAAGGGACATAAGTTGCTGGGGTACTCTTAACCCCTGAATGGAAGGAAGTCAGGGAAGGTCCTAGTGTACATTCAAAGTGCTGAATTTTAGAGGTATTTTTTAAAAATTTATTTTATGTTTTTCACTTAGTCATATAAAAGAGCTCCTTTTCCTTGGTACAAATAATATTTCTTTGTTTGCTTTCTGTTTTTGTATAACTAGTAAGCAACACTATTAAGGGCTAGTAACTTCAGTTGACCTAAAATGTGACTAGTGGCAAAAGTGAATTTAAAATGCCTTTATAGAAATGCTCATAGCTATTCTTTCTTTTTTAGATATGAAGAAGTATTTGGATTTTTTGCTGTTAGTCTTTTATTTATTAATAGGTTGAAGTTAGCTTTTAAAATATTTCTCTGTACAATTATTTGTTTGGAAGGTTTTTGTAGTGAATGCAACAAAAGATTAGTTTACTCTTTACACATTTTTTGTCTCATAATGAACGTTTCAAAAAAAGAGACTGAAAGGGGAAGGAATCCTTTCAGTGATATATTGATCTTAAAATGGTGTTATAGGAAGAACCTTTATCTTATCATCCATCATGTCTGTTAATATTAGTAGTGTAGTATCGTCTGGTATAATTAAGTAGAACAGCAATAATGAGACTAGATTTATTTTCAAAACTGTATCTTTTTTTCCTATGGCTGGTAATTTTTAAATACTTTATAATTCATTAAAGTTTTAAGATGATATTTTTTTTATAGATTTATTTATTTATTCGTACAGAACTGGAGTACAGGCCAGAGATGCGGAGGGTGAGAGGATTCACCAGAGACAGAGTGGGGTGCAGAACAGGCAGATCCACGAAGTACACTGCTGAGGGGAGCAGCGGGCGGGTCAGGAGAGGTCTGCCACGCCATGTGGTCACCTCCGGGGAAGGCGAGGATCGAACTCATGCGGAAGTGGTTTAAGCTTCTTTGTGCTGTGCTTTAACCTGCTGCGCCACCAGGGAAGGCCCAAGATGATATTTTAGTGCAAAAATGTATTTGACTGTAGTGGTTAGTTTCTGCTTTCTTTAACAATATTTGATTTTGTATAGCATAATGATCTATAGGGTTATTAAAGTAATTGCTGCTTCAGCTAAAAAAAATACTACAGGTAGCGATCTAAAAGCACAAGGCTATTAACAGAGACATCCTTTTATAGGAAAAAAATGATTTTAAGTTATCAGAATAGGCAACACTGAAAGGGAGATTCTCTTCTTTCAAGTTAAGCACTTTTTTGATTATTAATGTAGATCTTAGATTTCTTAGTGTTTCTCTTTACCTGTCATTTAGTATGAAATATTTGCTTCTGAAGGACTTTAATATGGGAAAAGTTGTCTTGACAAGTCCTGTCATTCGAGACCATTCTCTCAGGCCATCCAACACCTTCTCTGTTCACCCACTGATTTCAGGGCATCTGTACTGGTAGAAAAGCTCAAGGCAGATGGAGAAGGTAGTTTCCTACTTTCTTCTTGAATGTCCTGGCCCATCCCGGTATTCTTAGGGACAGCCAGCTTAAGAGTTTATTTGATGTCACAGTGACAGCAATGCTTGTGTACAAAAAGAAAACTATTGCCATCGTGTGGTGTGCGTTGTAGAATTTACTCAGGATTGTTTAGTTTTATTATTTCCCTCTGTCTTG